ACTGCCTGCAGGGCCTGGTATGGGCTCAGCTCCTGGTCAAGTGCCTGGACGGGCAAGTGATAGAGCTTTGCCTGAACCAAAGCAAAACTCAAGAGTTTTGCTTTAACTGTGTCAGGGTGTATTTATGGCTCTGTGTGCTGTGTAAGAATTCTTATACGGCTGAACCAAGTATGGTAGCATGTATTGAATAGACTTCCATTATGATACCAAAACTAAAATGACTTTGAAAGGTTTGATTAAATTGAATTTCCAGTCTAGAAGGCACCTCTTCAGGCCTTCTTATCTCTGTACTTCTGAATCTTGGATACACTGATCTGGTGGTTTATTGCTAAAGTGTGGGGCAGGGAATTTTTTTTTCCCTTTGTCTTTCTGCGTCTGAGCTCGGGAGGTTGGGAAACTTCTTGATTCATCCTTTGGCCACATGACTTCATAGCTGGCCAGCCTTGTGTCATTGTGGCCACAGCACTGCTGGATGCCATAAATTGTCGGAGAGGGGATGGGATCAGCCGTGTGTTGTATCATCGCCTCAGCAGTGACTAATGGAGGAGGGTGGGAAACCAGAGCAGCTGAGTAAAAGCAAACAAAGATCATCCTGCTGGAGTGGTGTGATGGGCTACTGGCCTTGTGCTTGTGACGCAACTGTCTGTTGTGGGGTTTTCCACCGCTCCTCGCATCAAAAACCCAGCAGGTATTGACTGACTCCTTCAGAAATGTTGGGTTCTTGGAAAGAAGCAAAGAAAGTAGCCACATAGAATTTTTCAGATAAAGTTCGAGAGTTGACCTTGACAATCTGTGGATTCAGCTTTCCATTGAAGCCCGCTTTCCAGCGTTTACAAGTCTTGCTCTGCTGCTGCAGGGAGTTGAGGCAGTATTTGGCCTCTGCTTTCTAAGTACATGACTCCTACCTTAAAAGAAAACCTCTCCCCACCTCAGTCTGTGCCGTTCTGCAGCCCGAGGAAGAAGGGCAAGAAGGCTTTTCTGCACACTGGGGTGGTTTGGAAATGGCTCTGGCAAAGCAATCTCTGAGTTCGCAGCTGAAATGGCAAATGGGGTTGAAGGTTCAGACTTGTAACTTGATCTGAGTCTCTAAAACATCATCGAGATCTTGTCTAAAATGTAAACTGTGAGAATTGGTAAGGCGTTTTAGAGTTTAGATTTAAGTAGGCTCTCACCTGTGGTGTATAATGAAGACTTACATAGCTGTTTATTGATGTGCATGTCTTGTGCTGGATGCTCTTGATGTTCTTTAAATGCTGCCACTGATCTGTAGGAAATAAGAATATATGCATGCTTGGGTGGAATGGAGTAAATCTCTGTCAGCTGGAGAATTACTGATACACATCGGAATACTGACTTAGGTTTTAAGTGTTCTAGTAAAGAGGGTTACAATTGGTGTGAAAACTTGAGTGGCACCACTTTAGGGATCCTGGGGGTTTAAGGTTTGAGCCCACCCTCTGTTCTGAGTAGCTGTGACAGAACGGGGAGCAGAGCAGGTGGGTTGATTTACTCACAGGGAGAAAGGCAAAGAATGTGTGGGGTCTGTGTGGCAAGGTGTTGGTACTGGAGGGGCTAGCAGCGTGGCTTCTGTGGGAAGCTGCCAGAAGCCTCCCTCATGTCCGATAAAGCCAATTC